AATATACAGGGTGTTCATAAATTAAAAAAAAAAAAAAAAAAAAAAAAAAAAAAAAAAAAAAAACTGATTCTATTTCTCTAATTGTTGCACCATAAAATGGTCGCAGATGGCTATGGGTTTGAATTATGCAGACAACGCATTGGATACACTTTGGCAAGATCTATTTAATAAAAAAAAAGTTGGCTATTGAACTTGGCACCCGATTTAAAGATTTTTATTTTTTTTCAGTTTGCAATTCTTATATAGATCTACTTCTACTACTTCTACTTCTACTTAATTGTTTGTAGTCTTTAAAAAAACATCCACCGAATTTGACGGTACTCAATTCCGACGGTTGATTTCATTAAAATAGTTTGTAGTTGCAAGGAAAAAGTTAGAACTACATTTACATATAGTTTCTCGAAATTTCACTCTAATGCTTATTTCGTTTGTAGTTCTTCGACAGCCACTATAATTCGAGCTAAGTGTTTAAAATCATTTGTATTAGTGTTTATTTCGTTTGTAGTTCTTCAAAATCTAACGTGGAGTCACTTTTCTCCAAGCTCTGGCTCTAAATACGTTTGTAAATTATCTGCAGTAGCTTTTATTTCATTTGTAATTCTGCGATGTCTAACGTATAGTCATTATTCTCAAGCTCTAGCTCCAAAATCAATTATAATTGTTTGTAGTGTCGTTTATCTCGTTTTAGTTTCTTGAAGTAACATGTAATTAGTATAATCCAAGTTAGGTGTTTAAAATCGTTTAAAGTAGCGTTTATTTAATTTGAAGTTCTTTGAAATTTGACGTAGGTATAATCAATATAATCCAATACAGGGTGTATTTAAATGGCGGGGCACAAATGATACCAGATATTCCTTGAGTGAAAATATACCTACTAATGACGAGTATGTCGATATGTTGCAGGAAAATGGAAATTTACTTCCTTTAAAAAATCTTGTTTTTTTTTATTGTCATCCAATTGTTTCTCTTAAATTATCTATTGACTGTTGTTAAGTGACTCTTGGTTTTAGTTGTTTTGCTCTTTTTTCTAATAATAATTATTAAACTAACAATAACTAAGTATTTTGCAAAATTTTTTTACCTGAACTGTTATTTCATATGAGATTTCTTTAATGCAGGGTTTAATTAATTTCACATGCACAAGAAAATGTGTTTT